CTAAAAATATTGTGTTTTATAAAATATTAGATATATCAAATATTCGTCATGTCTTCAATCATATATAGCGAATGTGGGCCCTTTAAATAAGAAGTTGGTTCTCTTTAGGGTCATCATTAATTTTCTACAAAATGCTAATTGTAAAAAATGACTTGAATGAACTGTTAGTTAAATCGAAGTTTATTAATTTCAACGATTTAGATCACGTTTCAGAAGTAACAACAATTAATACGCTTCACCAAATATAGTAATAACTAATCGCTTGCTGATAACGCTAGTTTACAAATTTTAAATAATTTTTAGTGTGCAAGAAATAACTTTTATTCTAATCAAATTTTTATTAGAACGACAAGATTTTTAATTTACTTAACTTATGAAAACTTTCTTTTTAATTAAATTTTATTGTTCTAATCAAAATTTTGTTGGAATAATCAAATTTTAAATAGAAAAACAAATTTGATTTTTTCGTAAGTCACACATATCATAGAGAACATTTTTCTCCAGTGTAGGTATGTCTTGTGAACCCGGAAAATAGGTTTTTGTTGAATAAATAGGAGTGGCCATCGAGCAAGACGGAGAATCCGCACCGCACGCGGATGTTCGAGCGCGGCCACACACACGCGAAATTCATGCAACGCTATCCCGTTAGTCGACATTCATCGGCTTGGACTTCATCTCCGGCTTCCCTGCGTCCTCTCTTTCTCTCTTTCTCTCTTTTCTCTTTCCTGTTCTCTTCGGAGTGGCTGTCTGCCAATAAAAGATGTTAGAGGGGGGCCGCGTCCATTTCGTTCGCAGTGCCCAGTTATGCGGACTGTAACGGAATCGGCCGACTAAATTTACCGCGGCCTTATCGATCACGGGGCTCGGACTTTCGGTCCCCGTCGGCCGGCGACGACACTTTTTACTTTGCCGTAAATTCCGAAAAAGCAGATCGAGCCGTCGCGATTTATGGCGGCACCCTTGGAGTCATAAGCCGCGTTAGACCGGGAATTTTCGCGCTAAAATAATGAATAGCGATTGCCATAAATATCGGAAACGAAATAAATGACGTAAAAGCGCGGCCGACGTGAACGGCGAATGAACGGTGAAAAATAAAGTAAATAGCGTGAACGATATTCGCAAATAACGAGTAAAACGGTAATAATAATAAAGCAAACAATTTAATGAAGTGTCAGAAATAAAGGTGAAAGGTCTTTTACGAGAAAAGAAAAGTCAACATGGTTGACAATATGGTCCGTGAAGTTGGCACCCTAAATGCAGATTTTAACAAAATCTATATCGCATTTAATTGCACACAATTTTTATCCACATTTTTTTATAAATAATAATTTTTTGCCCCCTGCAAGAAAATTTATAAATAAATTAATAATTTTAATGTAAGCATTCCTATGTATATATTTGAAAATTATATATACGGGATTCGATTGTTCACAATTTTTGTTCGCATTCGTGCATAAATAATTATTTTCACCTTTGACAATGTAAGAATTCCTGTGTGCCTTCACAACGTGTGGGAATTTGGAAAAGAGTACCGAGGAAAATTACGGCGGATTCCAGCGTTTATCCGCATTACGTAACACATCGTCGAGTCGCGGCACGCGTCTTAATGGGCCTTACCAATCTCCATAAGTACGTGCCTACGTGTTCCACGCGCACACACAGCTCTGATATTCATCTTACGACACGCGGGGAGGAGCGGTCGATTTCCTATCGTTCGTTCACCCCATGTAAACATTCTTTCACGGCGATTTTGCCCCGCGGCTTTCCGACGTTGATCCGTTGAAGTTACATAAGAAAGTGGCCGGCCATTGTCCAGCTGCGGAAATGTCAAAAGTCTTTTCACAGCTATGACGCTCAGCCCGTATTAAATATAATTCCATCATCGTTAAACCTTTAAGTAACGTTATCATTATTTGTGCATTATTACACAGAAAAAAAGGTTTTACGCTGAAGTATCTAAAAATTTAGCTAAATATAGATTTGAGCATAATTTTACTGGACTACTAAAATAATTATACGTTACTGAAAGAAAGACTGATAATGCATTGAAAAAAATGTTTGATATATATAACCATAACTAGTTTATAATCTCTTATGGTTGTTTTAATAACTAGTTTCGATGTAGATCAATTAAGCTCGTTTATTTGACTTTTCTACTTCATGCTGATTTGCATTGCAGTTTCGAGCTAGAAAGTTATAATACTATAAATAACTATTATTTTGTTGCATGTAAATTATAAAAACTTTCATATTTTTTAATTAAAAAATTATGTTGCAATCAAAATTTAATTGTCCTAATCAAAAATTTTGGTATACGATTTTTTAAATGTTTAATTAATATAAAAATAGTGTTGTTTTAATCAAAATTTGATTATTCTAATTTAATTAAAAAATAGGAAAGTTTTTGTAATTTACATAACATAATAATTATTCATACCAAACATTTCTCTCAGTGTTACTAAATATTGAATGAAATAATTTTAATCAAATGTTCGGTTAATATAATCTTTGTAAAAATAATTTTAGCTTTTTAATTATTAATTAATTATTTCCGAACAATATTGGTATAATTACATTATTATATATTCGGTATACTTACACTAAATATTTAGAAAAGTTAAATTAATTTGGTTATATTAACTGAACATTTGATTATTTCACTCAACACTTGGTAGTTATTATACCAGATTCATTTTTCAGTATATTACTTAAGTATTTGAATAAAGTTCGGGGAGTATGTGTATTAAACTGGGCGCGGTTGGATATGAATTGAAGCATGTTGATCTCGCGTGATTCAGCAAATTGTTGTCGAGTTAATAAAGCCGCGCGCGGGCCGCAGTTCAAAGAATACCGTTGCTTTCGAGCAACAATTTGCGGATTTTCGAGCGGCAGGAAATGCAGGAGATAATTGGCGCGCTATTGAATCGACGACGAGCGTTGTTACCTTCCGACGCACCTGACGCGACGGTTCTCCGCCCCTTACCCCGCGGTGCCCCGCCGCCGAGAGCCGGGGGCAACGTGAAGGTCGGGGGTGAGCCGAGTTTAATTTAGCCGTCACGCTCTTACTTGGGATCGATACATCGTAACCGCATCAGCGGAGTTACGCCTCGTGAGTGCCACCTTAACTTCGACGGCAACGCGGCTGCCGAAAGGAAAGGAAACCTCAAAACAGTTCCCGCTTCCGGAACGACGCCGCGCCACACCGACACGGAAATCGCCCCCGGGGATCGACGGACCGGTCCCTCGGGCATTCTTGCGCGTTTTGGGAAAACATTGATCTTAACTCCGAGTTGACTTAACCGAGATTTTGGGATTTATGTTCTTGGGACGTTGCGTGCGGAACTGGAGATTAGAACATGTGAGAAATCGAAGATTTGTGGACATTTAATATCTCTAATTAATATTTACATTTTATATCTATTTTTCTTCTAACCCTCCAGAGCTGATGGTGGGTATATTGGATTCACTCAATTATAAATCTCTTTGTCATAAATGTCAAATTCAATTTTCTTTGTTACAAAAATTTGAATTGTTCTTATTGAAATATATTTAGTATTCATTTTTTCTTATACGAGTTGTGTCAAATTAATTCTTTAAAATTAATTAGTGTCTTTTAATTAACATAAATGGGAGTCTTACAGTTAATAATTGTGTTACAAATTTTGGGATCAGTTCCGAAGAGCTAATTTAAAATCTTTAGTAATTAAACTTTGTAGATATTTTTGCAAAACAGCATTGATTATAATTCAACATATATTTAATTATTATATTAATTACGATTTAATTAATCTTCCATTCTGAAACCATATGTACTTCAATCCTCGATTCTCCGAATCATTAGATTCTGCATCCCAACAGCAAAGTTTCACGAACCTATAATGGCTCAAGTTTGATAGCCAATTTATACTATCGATCGTCTATTAAACAATTTCTGCATTTACTATCGCAACAAAATGTATTATATAACTCTTCATTTGATAAAGTCAAACATATCAATTCTAACTGCATTTCTCGCTATTAATTTACGTTATTGCCTTCAATTACCTATCAACCAATAATTCATGCATTGCTTAACACAACACAATGTTCTTATCGTTAAAAGCGTTTGTCGGAGAATTTCTATCGCAGAGCATTGACTGCGTTCAGCAGACAAAGCAGCTCAGTGAGCACTTAGTGATTTTTTTATATATTGATTTTATATATTGATTTTTTGCTTTTAATTCTTCGTTGAATTTAACAAGTGTAGAAACCATTAATAAAAAAAATTACTGAATGCTCACTGAGCTGCTTTTTCTGCTGAACGCAATGGCGAAAACATCAAGGTAGAAGATAACAGCTTGTTGAATTGTTTTAAAATATAAGAGATAGTCGATTTAATAATTCATTTATCTTATAATATTTTAAGCATTTCGTGAAGGAAAAATAAACGCACCACACACTCAGAAAAATGTTTTGTTCTATGAATCAAAATTTTACTGAAACAACAAAAAATTGATTGAAATGTACCGAAAAAAACTGTAATTTTATGTTAACTGAATTGTTTAATTTGGGGAGGGGGGAGATTTAATAAGATTATAATCTTCCGAAACGCGATTGTTTTCTATTGGCGATTATAGGCTTGCGCAATCCATTAACTCCCGATTAACATCTCGAAAACCTATCGAGGCAGCCGTTTACCGAAACAAGTATCTCGCAAGCGATTCATTTACATGAAATGGAAGTTAAAGCGATAGTGGATGAGAGTTATAAAGTTGAAATGCTTTGTGTTTATATGATGTTAAATAAAAGTCTAGAGAATCTAGAGACATAGAAACTGAAGGATCTTAGAATCGGAGTTCTCTCTTTTATAATTAATTATTTATGAGGAAATAATTTAAATAAAAGATCAATAAGATAAGATTTTTATTGTTTGTAAAAAATCAAATTTTTACTTTCGAGTTTCGACTGTTTCAACTCAGTTGTGTGCAGTTTACGAAAGATGCTTTTTTTTGTTTTTCTAGAATATCTTGGATAAGTTCAATCCTGGCGCGAGGCAGCTGATCAACGCAGGCAAGGCGTACCTGAAGGCTCTTCACGGTGAGTGAATTAAATGGAGTATGCCGGAGCACTTCGAAAGGAGAGACAGAAACAGACGGGTTTAGCTCACGGGTGGAAAGAAGACCAGTGCACAAAGAACAGGGTGGGAGGGGAAGGAGGAGAACTTCGTGTTAGCCCCTTGGGTCCTGTTGCAGGATCGAATTGCCAGCTCGTTAGCATTGTGAGCTTTTGCTCCACCTTTCCCGTCTTCTTTTTTTCCATTCCGTGTTCTGATTAATTTATTTTATACAGGAATGTAGATGGGTTAATGTTTAGGGTTTCATACGCTGTTACTTAATCGGGGCGCAATTAATAATATCAAACATTTTTCGAATCGACGATTTTTCTAGATATTAAATATCTGGAATGTTGCAATTAATATCAAATTTTAACATGTCGTATATGTGTATGATAACGAGATACACATATCCAGCTCTTTAATTTTTTAATCTAGATTATACACATAATTGAATGCAGGCACTGAAAAAATGTACTAAAGTTTAATAAATATTTGATTGTTGAAAAATACTAACTAAATATTTTTTTAATGTAAACATATATCTATACATTTGTGATACAATAACCATATTAATTGTATTTAATTATATATTTAAAAAAATATTATTGAATCTTATTTTTTTTATTGAATAAACATTTACTTATTGAAAGTAAATGTTTAGTTAGTATTATTGAAAAACATGTATTAAGGTTTAGTAAATTGTTTCTCTTGTCAGTGTAGAATCTCCGTTAAAATAAAAAATCTTAAACTTTGTACGTTACTTCCTGTGTGTAGAGAAATTTAATACTATGAGTATTAAATTGGTTAATGATGAATTACTTATTTTTAGTATTAAAACCGGTATTGTTAGTATTTTTAACTCGAAATAAATCATTATAACTTGTAAAAATATAGCGCGGAATTTAAAGAAATTTAATACAGTGAGTATTAAATTGTGAATATTAGTATTAATAACTTTCAATACTCAAAGTAAGTAATTAATCACTAATTCATTTAATAATTAATTCTCTATAGGTTGTATATATTTTAACATCAATTTCAAGGTATTCCGCACTATATCTCTAACCGCGTTTCGCACTGATCCTATACACGTGTTTATTCCTCTTTCTACCTTTCACACCTTCGCGGCCTTTCGTGGCCGGGTCAGATCAATCACCTTTGGGGATTAACCCGTTGACCCTGAAACAGACGACTCGCGTGCCGCCGTCATGTAGGTTGCCTGTGAGATATCGCCCTCGATGCTCCTGGGGATAGAAAGGGAATAATTTGATGATGGAGATATCTTCACGCATCTTCGCGTTTTTTACGTCTGTGGACACGAGCTTACATCTCTTGCGCGGGAAAATGATTTTATCAGCAATTCAATTAACTCTAATGACAGTAAGAACGTATTTCATAGTAATTAATAGCTTCTTTCATTATCCTTTATATAGTTTAATTGGAAAATGAAAATTGTGGTTTTAATTGAAAATTTTATCAAATTCATATTATTCTTTATAAGAAATTTAATTTAAAGTTGAATAAAAGGGAATTTTAAGAAAAGATATTTAATTACCCTTTTAAAATTATTTAAGAAATTAATTATTATTAAGATTAATACACAAAGAAAAAGGTTTCTTTGGATTTAGTATTCCTATTTATTTGCCTAAAATTTGTTTTATTGAAACAACATATGCTTGTACGAAATATTATTTGTTTGAATAAAAATTTTGTTGCTTCATTCGAGAAACTTCTATTTGTTTGACAGAAATAACATTATTATTTGAAGTAATATCTTTCAATCAAATATAATAATATATTATTTGGTTACAATTAATACAAACAATGAAACAAATTATTTGTTTGAAAATGGCAAAATATAATATATTGATAGAGATTATGATAGAAGTCCATGCAAATAATTGCCTTCTTAGAACAACCTATATTTTTTGGCCGAAATTACGAAAATAATGGCTTATACGTCTAACATCGCACTTATTGATTCAAACATTGTTTGGACTATTCCAAATAACAAATTTATTTGGATATAATAAAATTTATTAAATCCAAAGAAATCTTTTTCTCTGTGTAGGAATTTCGAGAATTGTTAAATATTGAAGAATATCATAGATAATTTCTTCAGGAGCTATTAATATTCTCATTGTTTAACGATTGCTGAATAATAATGACTACTTTTTAACCGTAAAAGTCGTAACTGACCGTAAATCGTGAAGTAATAATATATTGCACGTGGAGTCGGCGATTCTCGTTGATGGGTGGGAATTTGTTTAAGGTGTGCCAGAGAAAATAGTACTTGGCGGCGGAAAGTAGTTTGCGCACCAGCACAGTTGGCTTTACATCAAAAGTGACTTAAAAGTTTCGCCGGCCTTTGATGTAACGGGTATTACTCTGTCGGGAATGGAAGGGAGATGCACCCGCGAAAGGGGGAGACTTCGCCATTTCCGCCGGATGAAAATCGACTGGAATTCCTGCACCGTAAAACCTCGAGCATATAATTAATTTTTCTCTTCCTGCACTTACGTTTTACTTTTTTTCCTCTCAATCTTTCCTGCATGACTTCACAAACTCTAAGTTATAATTTATAATCATTTTACAAACATTCTATGAACACGCGCGATATAATATCACTTTTCCAAAGCATCCGGGAAGAGTTCGGCTCCACCACCGCACCGATAAGATCTCCAATATAAATTATGCTACTATCATAAACGACGCTTTCGAATCTCCGCAGATATCGAGACCGAATGCCGAAACTCTCTTCGCGAAAGGGGATAAAATCGCAACATCAATCTGGCGACTTTATAGAACGCTTTATGGAAAAGTTCAGGCAAACAGAACCGCGATAATTTCTTCTGTAGTGGTGGTTCGCGAACTTTTTATCTCGACGCGATTAGGGCTACAAGCTAGATGGATGCTGAGCGAGGGTACGGGAAGCAAGCAGAGGAACATACTCAATGGAGTTGGGCATTGTACAAAGGGGCAACTTCCTTTAACGAGTTCCGTGCCGGGAAAGAGAGCTAACTCGATTAGGAATTAATTTTTGACGACTCGCGAAAGATGAGACAAAGGAGAGATTTCTCCGAATGGCGAAAGATGAGAGATGGGGACAAAGGATGAGGACAAGTAAAAGAAAAGCTAGGAATTAAGGTGAAACTGGAGCTTCTCGGCCCTTGTGGGGGTAAATTGCATCCGACTTTTCCTCGATATGCTGGCGGATTTTTAATTCCCTGCTGAAACTTCTTCATTTCTGTCTGAACGTAAAAATAATATTCGGAGTATATATACATTTGCTGTCTTTTAATAACTCTTTCGTTTCCAGGAAATATTAGTTTTTTTTTTAACCCGGGAAGTCACTTGAGGTGTTTTTATACCCCAACGACGAAAAAATATGAATGGTTGTAAAATACTGTTTAACATATTTTCTTTCTTTTTTAATAACTTACATATATGCTTTACGAACTTTACCTTTAAGGGGTTCTCTCAATTTGTCAACTTAAAAAAATCGGTTTTTTTATTGCATTTTTTGAAAGTAAATATATATTATTGAAAATATAATTTCAAAATTACATGAACAAACTCGAAATATTTTTGTACTTAGCACATTAAAGGTAAATAAAGTTTGTTCATAATTTGTACTTACTACAAACTTTAAACGCGTTTTTCTCAAAACGATTTTTTTCAATGTGGCGTAGGAGATTTCTCGAAAACTATTCATCCGATCGCTCTGAAATTTTAATAGCTTATTTTACATATCTGTAGTTGTGTTCTGAAGTAGAATTAAGTCAAAATATTAATTTGTTCGAATTTTATAAAACATAAACGACTGAAAAAAAATCCATTTTTTTCACTCTTTTTTTTAAATGGCTGCCATTCTGTTATTTTTTGATAAAATTAATTTTTTCTAGTTGCGGTTACAGCCATTGACTAACAATTTAAGAATCTTTTTGAATTTTTTCTTTCAAATGTTCCAAAGTGGAAATATTTACTACGCCAACGAGCCATCTACTTTTTGAGGCATCCACTTTGATTACAAACACGGCGGTTAAAAAATGTATTTTTTGTTATAAAAAAAAATTTTTTTTAAGTTTAAAGATTAAAAATAGCACCATAAAAAGTTTGTGTTAAAAGCTTTTGTAGTTTTTGAGAAAAAAATTCCCAAAAATCACACACACCTTTTTTTTAAGCTGCAAACTGAGATGACCCCTTAAATATGCAATTCCATCGAAAATTCACAATAAGAAAGCATTACATTAATTAAAACCTTTTATTTTTAGAAATACTTTCATAATAAATTTCATCATAAACATATTTCATAATAAACATTTTATAATAAATTTACAATAAACAAAAATGTCGATATATGTATAATTTTATTATTTAACAATTTTTCAATTATTTCATCTCTTCTATAATCTTAATTTTATTAATTTTTTTGAACAACTTTAACGACTATTACTATAATTAAACATTTTTTTTAAGACCTTTCATTATTTAACCTTAATTAAATCATATTTTTCAAATAATTCGAATCCGAAGAAAGCTGTGAAGTTTCGCGAGTGAAATTTCAGCCTTCTTAATTAACCAATCAAACTCTGGCAGCGTTATCAAAATGCCAGCTAAAAACGGTGAATTCATCCCGAGTCGTCTTTGTTCTTAGTAGAATTAATTTGTTCCACCGGAAGGAACTCGCCGATTGTCGAACTTATACCCAGACTCCGCAACTCATACCCCTGCCATATACACGGCACCCTATCAGGATCTGACTCTGCGACAATTTATAACGACTCGTCGAGCTACTTTGAGGGGCTCAATCCTGCAAGGAACTTCGTTCTTCCTTCCTCTTCCTACTCGTCTTCTTCGTCCTGCATCCTTTCTCCGATTTTCCGTCTGCTTCCTAAGGGCGCCACTTAAATATCATGAGTTCCGCGTTTTCATTCGATCGAAAGATCTACGAGACGTCTTTTCCAGTATCATTT